CAAACATCTTGGGTTTGGCTATTTTTTGAAATTTGCATTTTCAACTTTTGTACTAGCTTTTATAACATTTGGATAAACCAAACATGAAATAGTTCTCCAAAATCCCTTTTTTGCGAGTTCGCGAAATAAGCAATTGCTTAAAACACACAAATCTTCGCAATTCGAGGCTTCCAAATATCAGTTAATGCTGATTTTAGCGAGCAAGTGATTGTTTAGCGGTTCGAAGTTTTGGATTTCAAATATTCTGGTTACAGTCTGGGACGAGTCTGGAAACAATAATTACGATGATTTCATCTTCAAATATTTTACAAATCAGGAAGAAAAAAGGTCTATCAGAAAGAGGAAAAAAGCAGCAACGAATGATGCCTTGATTGCTAGTCGCTAACGAATTAATCCTCAGTCGTTAATCCTTACGAACAATAAATACATTGTTCTGTGAGATTAACATGCCCAAATATGGAATTTGAAAGCATCAGAAAAACATTTTCAAAAATTTTGAGAAGCCGGCTAGAAATGTTTTAGAAATATATTGTATTGCGTTTTGTTTACTCTATCCAACTGTCATCAAAGCTATCCCAAAAGTTGAAAATGCAAAATTTTGAAAAATAGCCAAACTCAAGATGGGTGAAAATCATGGGTTGAAGATCCCCCGCCGATTACTGTGCGGACATCGAGGAAATCTAACAAATACAATACCACCCGTAATTTGTGAAAAAAAATGGCGGCGGCACTTAACTTACGCGGCGCCGCCGAAGTTAGGTGACTTTTGCCGCGTCGCGCGACAAAAGTCGGCGGAAAAGCGGCAAAAGTCACCTAACTTTGTCGCGCAACGCCTAACTTTTTATAAAAAAAGACCTTATCTTGATTCAAAATTTATGAATTCTATATATAAGAGTACCATTCAACTCAGCTCGGCGAGGCGCATCTTCCAATATACGGATGTGCCTAGTTGTGGGATATAAGTTTCTTTCCTGGAATTTTAGTGTAAATGGACCATTCAGTGTGCTTATTCCAGAGGCTACGTACACATTCCATTGAGCACAGCAGAAATAGGGCAGGTATAGTTTAAGAGCTCATTCTGCATGGATATATGTGAAACTGGGCAGCTCATTCTGTATGGATATATGTGAAACTGGGCAGCTCATTCTGCATGGATATGTGTGAAAGTGGGCTTCTCTCGGCGAAGTATGACGGGTCCCAAAATGCAGGAAGAAAAAGGGAAATGGTTGGAAATCGCATGAGAAGCACATATCGCGGAATGCCGCGCGTGCTGTGCAATGTACAATACCACTCACAGAACGGGAATTGCGCGAAATTCCAGAAATTTCGCGATTCCGGATTATCGTAAATTATGCAGCGCCATAACTTCCTTCGGAATTAATATATTCTAAATTCGAAAGCAGCACTGTGTTCATCTCGTCAAGGCGAATCTTTCTACATACGTCATGTCATCTATATCTTGTTTTCAGTTTTCTCAAATTGTTCTGAGGAGGTCCCTTTGCAAGTATGTAACGCAGCGCCTATCCAATTTGAAAGCTTCCAGTATGCACCATTCGATAGTGCTCTTCTTGTGCATTATAGTGCGCTACTAAGCTGCCGCAGGCTTCTTTTCAAAAGAGAAAAAAGCGTTGGTAAATTCTGGAAAAATCACTCGTTTCCAGATTCTACTCGCCGTAACTTTCTTTGGAGTGGATATTTTCTAAATCCGAAAAATGCATTGTGCTCAGCTCATCAAGGCAAATCTTTCGGTATGCGGAATGTCCTTGATATCTCGATTTCAGAAGCAGTGGTATCAACGCAGAGTACTTCTTCGCAAAGGTGTGAAGCAGCGCGTATTGCCCCCAGTACATTCAGAAAGAAATTTTCGATAGTACTTCTTTTGTAGATTATGGAGCGCTGGAAAGTAGCCGCGTACTCCTTTTCAAAGGAGTTAGAAGGGCTGGTGAATTCTGGAAAAATCATGTCCTTCTAAATTTTTCTCAACGTAACTCTAAAATATGAAGCTCTCTTGCTAAGCAGATGTGATTTTCGTAACCAGCAGGTCGGATAACCCTTATGAGCATGTTTTCCAAGATGTTCAAGTAATTTCATTTTTTCTCGTTTTACGCTCTGAAGCTGGCCGATGGATTTTGGTCAAAATGTTCATGCTCTTAAATTGTAAGAAAACTTCGCTTATAGAGGTTTTCGAACACGCTCTTTACGAAAATCGTGGTCCTTGAGGATTACAGGGTCTTTTTGGTGAGATACGGTGAGGTGACTGTAACTGCATCACGAAAGTGCGTAAATTGGCCCGCACTTCTCGCGTATCTGTCAGCAACCTTGCCTGCTTGCTTTTCTCAGTCAAAGTTACTAGGAAATGCGCTACCGAATGGTGCATGAATCAGGCTCCAGTCTGTAAAAATCACCGAGTTACGAGCCTATGAAAACACGTCCTCATGGATTTTGCCCAAAATCTAAAGATGCAAATCTCGTCGAAGTTCCACCGTGAGCGCTTGTACAACACGCTGATCAAAATCTTTCGCGTCCTTAATGGATCTTATTGTGTTAGATTTAGTAGTTTGAGTTCTAGCCACTGAAATAGCTCTGATATTCAACTGAGTAGCTGAAGCATATGCAAGTACCATATTCAATACAGTGGGAGTTTTTGGGCGAAGCGAACACAATATCCGCAATGCGAGTGTCATACAAGCGCTCACGGAGGAATTTCGACGAGATATGCGATCTTTAGATTTTGGGCAAAATCCATGAGGACGTGTTTTCATAGGCTCGTAACTCGGTGATTTTTACAGACTGGAGCCTGATTCATGCACCATTCGGTAGCGCAGTTCCTAGTAACTTTGACTGAGAAAAGCAAGCAGGCAAGGTTGCTGACAGATACGCGAGAAGTGCGGGCCAATTTACGCACTTTCGTGATGCAGTTACAGTCACCTCACCGTATCTCACCAAAAAGACCCTGTAATCCTCAAGGACCACGATTTTCGTAAAGAGCGTGTTCGAAAACCTCTATAAGCGAAGTTTCCTTACAATTTAAGAGCATGAACATTTTGACCAAAATCCATCGGCCAGCTTCAGAGCGTAAAACGAGAAAAAATGAAATTACTTGAACATCTTGGAAAACATGCTCATAAGGGTTATCCGACCTGCTGGTTACGAAAATCACATCTGCTTAGCAAGAGAGCTTCATATTTTAGAGTTACGTTGAGAAAAATTTAGAAGGACATGATTTTTCCAGAATTCACCAGCCCTTCTAACTCCTTTGAAAAGGAGTACGCGGCTACTTTCCAGCGCTCCATAATCTACAAAAGAAGTACTATCGAAAATTTCTTTCTGAATGTACTGGGGGCAATACGCGCTGCTTCACACCTTTGCGAAGAAACGTCCGCAGAAAGTTTTGAGAATACTGAAATCGAGATATCAAGGACATTCCGCATACCGAAAGATTTGCCTTGATGAGCTGAGCACAATGCATTTTTCGGATTTAGAAAATATCCACTCCAAAGAAAGTTACGGCGAGTAGAATCTGGAAACGAGTGATTTTTCCAGAATTTACCAACGCTTTTTTCTCTTTTGAAAAGAAGCCTGCGGCAGCTTACTAGCGCACTATAATGCACAAGAAGAGCACTATCGAATGGTGCATACTGGAAGCTTTCAAATTGGATAGGCGCTGCGTTACATACTTGCAAAGGGACCTCCTCAGAACAATTTGAGAAAACTGAAAACAAGATATAGATGACATGACGTATGTAGAAAGATTCGCCTTGACGAGATGAACACAGTGCTGCTTTCGAATTTAGAATATATTAATTCCGAAGGAAGTTATGGCGCTGCATAATTTACGATAATCCGGAATCGCGAAATTTCTGGAATTTCGCGCAATTCCCGTTCTGTGAGTGGTATTGTACATTGCACAGCACGCGCGGCATTCCGCGATATGTGCTTCTCATGCGATTTCCAACCATTTCCCTTTTTCTTCCTGCATTTTGGGACCCGTCATACTTCGCCGAGAGAAGCCCACTTTCACACATATCCATGCAGAATGAGCTGCCCAGTTTCACATATATCCATACAGAATGAGCTGCCCAGTTTCACATATATCCATGCAGAATGAGCTCTTAAACTATACCTGCCCTATTTCTGCTGTGCTCAATGGAATGTGTACGTAGCCTCTGGAATAAGCACACTGAATGGTCCATTTACACTAAAATTCCAGGAAAGAAACTTATATCCCACAACTAGGCACATCCGTATATTGGAAGATGCGCCTCGCCGAGCTGAGTTGAATGGTACTCTTATATATAGAATTCATAAATTTTGAATCAAGATAAGGTCTTTTTTTATAAAAAGTTAGGCGTTGCGCGACAAAGTTAGGTGACTTTTGCCGCTTTTCCGCCGACTTTTGTCGCGCGACGCGGCAAAAGTCACCTAACTTCGGCGGCGCCGCGTAAGTTAAGTGCCGCCGCCATTTTTTTTCGCAAATTACGGGTGGTATTGTACATAACCATTAGAAAGAGGAAGAAATTCTGCATTGATGGTGCTTACCGCGTTTGTCTATCTTTATTCTAGGTGGTTTGAGCATGGATCTGAAAATCAGCGCGAACTTTGATACCAACCTAATATCTTGCTTGTGTATTCTTTAATTCAACTGGCTTGGCTCCTGAAAGGCGGGGCTTTGTGACTTAATTAAAGTTTGCGTCTGTCTAGCGCGCGTGCTCTCTGAACATTACCTTGCCTCAGCTAGGTCACAAGCCCCGCCTTCCAGGAGCCAAGCCAGTTGAAACAAAGGGTATGTCTACAGACGTCTTGCTGAACTCAAATTTGTGCTCAAACATTCTAATTCTATAATGTACATCACTTTCGGGGCGACTAGTTTGATCTGCAAACCCCTTTCAATGAGTCAACAATTTCAAATGAGCTTATGACACTTTCATGATGAAACTTTACTTTCTTTCAATCGCAAACCTTGAAGGTTTGATTCCTTACATCACAACCAAATTTTGAAGGGAAAGTTATTGATCTCAGCATTGATCTTCACGTACGCAGACGCCATCTTTGAGAAGATATCCTCTATTACACTCACAGCCTGGCGAAGCACACGCAAGAATGCAAGTTCTCTGCAACAATTCCTTAATCAAAGGCACTTGACGAACTCTAAAAAGAACTGACCATAGGTTCATTGCATGTTCCTGGGCAGTATGAACGACATTCTTCAAAGTGTTCATTCGGACCGCATCGTGAAAACCTGGTTGGTATCTCCATCTCTCTATCTCGGTACCATTTATATGGTCTGTATGGTCTGTCTATCCTTCCAACACGGATCCAATCGCTCCAATCGCTTGGTACGAACACCTTTCTTCTGCGTATTTCAGGGAAATATTGCTCTGGGTAGTACATCCCTTCGGGTTCGCTTTGTTCGAACATTACAGGGAACCAGTCTTCTAGGTCTACCACTGGTTCCTCTGGGTGAGTTGAGCCCAAGGATATTATTATTCCTTGTTGGGATCGTACGCCCACTACAGTCGCCAAGATGAAAAACTGAAATTTGCTATTACACTCCGTGTCAAATGTGCTCATAGGCAGCGGCTTGGTAAAATGACGACTGTGAGATATTTATCGTTCTGGGTTTCGCTGGACGAGCTAAGTTATAAAACTGTGCTTTTAGCTTCAAAAGATATTAATAACCCGCTTTTCCAGACGTGAAAACTGCTATTTGGGCGGACGGCGTTTGCCTGTCCTCTAGTGCGCGATTGGCTCGTGAGTAAAGACACCGTCCTTATCTCGGCGGCATTTGCATTATTGGCTCTAGCAGCCGTTTCGCAACCCGCCCATACAGCACGTCTGGAAAAGCGGGTTATCAATACCGTTTGCAGCTGCAAAGCACAGTCTTACCTAGCTCATCCAAGGGAACCGAGAACGATGAATATCCCAAAGTTGTCATTCTGCCGAACCGCTGCCTTCAAAAGGTAAACTCCAACCTAGCATCAGCAACCCTTACGAAAAAGGAAAACTTTCGCAATAGATCTCCATTTTTCGTTAAAGTTCAAGTTAGTTCTTTGGAAAGGAAGGAAGTATTGCGTCAGATTTTTTTGTGCCAATATTCAAATCGATCTTGCTTTTGTCACGTTTGATTTTCTAAATGATTTTTGTAACGTAGAAAAGGCGAGTATAAAGATTGTCGCATCCTTCAGGAGAGGGCACGACTTCCCAGATGGATCAAGTTGCTTGATCCGATACGGAAGTTTGCGAAGTTTATTATTTGCGCAGTGACACCATGTTGCCGGCAAGTTCTACACGAGCGGACAGCTGGTACAAATCATGCATATGAAGGCATGACAACTCGTATCAGTTACTTGCACAGGCAGAGCACATAGCCAAACCGCGATAAACCTTTTTCTCGATGAAAGCTGAGAAAATTGAGCAAATCATGATTGCGGCACTATTTTGCGCTTTTTGGTAATCCTCTGACATGAGATGGATTGGCGTTCTTGAAGCAACCCAAAGTTTCCGATACAACACTTTTACTGTGGAAAAGAGCTTTGATTTGGAGACCTCTTGCATCATTTGGCCAACGCTCCTCAAACTCCGCGGTAGTCTATTTAGGTTCGTACCCATTAATTACCCATCAATGAAACAGAAACGTACCAGGATCTCCGTTTTCATTGTTGTTTGTTTAACCTAAAATATATTGTGTTAGGACTCAATGAGACTGGAAAATGAAAAATGTCGGATATCAAAAGCATTGTGATAGCAAATTTGGGGAACTATAGGAAAAGCGAGGCTTATATCATATTTGGAAACCAGGAACAAACTTTTATGCCATTTGTGCAATTTGAAGAAACGTATATATGCTTGTACGTGCTTCTGAAAAGTTGTCAAATATATTGCGCACTAAAATCAAGGCCTGGATGCATTAATTTTTCGATGTTTACACTTTTACACTTTTATGGCAATTCCGTTCAAATAAAAAAGGCTTTATTTTTTTTCCAAACGTGAACGTGCACAAAAGGACTTTATCGCAATTCCACGTTTCGCTCGCTTTGCTCCCGATCCGCTTTGCCAACGATTAGTAATAGTGAAGAAGCTACAGCACGTTTGTAGACATGACAGGCGAATATCGTGAGGTGAGAGCCAAACTTTATGTAAGTGGAGACCACCGGCCATTTTCTGGGGTGATCTGCGCCTCAATATGTATTGTTTGTTGACTTACATCTAAAAAAAAGAAAGCTTATTACCAACTAGTAGGCTTCCCCCGTCCAGCCCGGGCTATTGTCCACAGGGGAAGAAGTAGATGCTACGGTTGCCAGCAAGATCACCGCACTACGAAACTCTTCTTCCTCCTTTTCCATATTATGGGTGATTTATCTTGCGGCATCCACTTCGATTCACCGCATCCTCGATCTGGGGGGGGGGATGAGCTTTACCGCCCTCCTTTGCATGACTATGGAAAAATGCTTGGTTAAACATGGTAGGCCTTCTTTTCATCAGAGGAACCTCAACAAATCAATAAACCGATAGAAAGAAGCAACAAATCGCCGCAAAAAGTAGCCTATCATCTGCGCAGTGGTCGAAAACATGTGTGCGAAGTTTCAGCTGAATCGGTTGAGCGGCTCGCGTTTCTATAACGCGCATAGCCTAAAGACTGATAATGAGTTTTAACAAAATACCAATGCGCCACCTCTGCTTCGCAGAGGCTCCACTGGCTCAACTATCTATGTGCCTTACTCATTCTCGTAAAATCGTAGCACTGGAACTCACCGCGCTATGCCGATTATCACGAATAAAATGTAAGCAACTACTCATTTGGAAAGTTTTTTCACGTAAGATCGGTGATTTTGCGTGGATAAAACTTTTCGCAGGAAGACAAACGCAAATTCGAATAGGTTTTTGGATTTGTCATGGCTTGGTAGTTGCCATAAAGGCAATAGTAACCGTAAGCTACATCGCTGTGCGAAAATCTACTCAAATGTTTGGCTAGAACCTTGGCAAATTGACCATTTACACAACCAACTCTTTTTGGCGCCGTTTTGGTTATGTAGTGAACTTTTGACCACTTTTCGCCCTAAAGTCCATCGCTTGCACATTTGCTTGCCAAACACATCACGACCATGCAAAAAGTGGTGATACGGACCCAATTTTGCGATAGAAGCCAGGTGGATCCGTTTGGCGGGTAATTTGTGAGGAATCCACCCAACAAATCTACTCGTGCTTTTGCATGTTGTACTTTCATGAAGTTAGCATGCGCTATGCAAGATCTGGGCTTGAAACGCTGGCTGGAACACGCTCTACGAATTTCGTAACACACACACACACACACACACACACACACACACACACACACACACACACACACACACACACACACACACACACACACACACACACACACACACACACACACACACACACACACACACACACACACACACACACACACACACACACACACACACACACACACACACACACACACACACACACACACACACACACACACACACACACACACACACACACACACACACACACACACACACACACACACACACACACACACACACACACACACACACACACACACACACACACACACACACACACACACACACACACACACACACACACACACACACACACACACACACACACACACACACACATTGCGCTACAGAGACAGTGACGGTAAGCCGCGCCCTGCCGCAACTGGCGTGCTCTAGTTCAAATCCGAATTCGATCACCAGGTATTTAGCGGGGAAAGTATGATTATACTTATTGTTAGATAAGCATAGAAAAACCATAGCCGCTCGCCGTCGGGGTATTTGGGCACTTATCAGCTGTTGATATCGCTTGCGTTGAACCTAGTGCTGTGTGTCTACGGTCCTTGCGCACAGGACGAATCCGGCGTACTCAACCCCTAGTCGTTTGCGCCTTCCTGCGTCTCGGGCGCACTATTTTTGACGCCCATGACGTGCTTGTCCTCTGCGCACGAGGACGAGCACGTCCTGCAGTCACGACGTCCAGCAATTTCAAGGCGCCGCCGTGATAAGAGATGACCGCCTTACGAATTGCTGCCGAAACGACCCGTACTGGTTACGTGCGATGTTTTGGACGTAGCGATCACCACAGAACGGGAATTTACTACGGTCCCTGGTGTCCTAGGGCTGTAACATCGTTAGGCTGGGGACTCTATTGAATTTGATGGGTATTCGAAAACTTCTTAATGCAAAAGCTTCAAACACAAGGCCATAAAAATCAGGCAGAACTTATGCAGCAAGTTGGAGTGGATTTTGCATTCGTAAAATCCATTCAGCTTTTGATTCTCAGGTTTAACAAATTCAAAAATTTTTTGCATTCATTATATCAAATCGTCTTACAAGGATGGGATACTTGGTGACTGTGACTTTTTAAATTGCAACGTACACCATTGAATGTCTGAAGCGCTGATTCCAATTCTGTTTTTATTATTTGCTGTGCGCTCTTCCGAAAGAAGTTATGAACATTTCTGTTCACCAAGATTTGCACTGTTTTTGGATGCAGGATTCACCAATATCGTTTGCTTACGCGCTATAAAAGACCGTACAGATAATTTGAATCTTCACTTTAAGTTTAGGAAAACTGTCACCAATATATCAGAGTATAAAAATCCTGGATACTGACGATTCTGACTCTGCCTAAATCTCGCAAAATCATTCAGGGAGTCGCACAGCAGACAACGAACATAGATTTAGAATTAGCGTTTTAAGACGCAACTACTGGTATACATCTCATTGCAAAAGGCCAAGGAAGGTCACCAAGTATCCTTTCCTCGATAGAAAAGTGTATTTTTCTCATACGATCGTATCCCCTCATATTTTTTACTGGATTGCTGTACAGTATTGGAAAGGTGGTTACTATTAAATATTTTCAGGCTTGCAAAAGTGTTTCGCGATTAACACAAATGGTTAATCTCTTAGCAGCATCTCCAAATGTTTTCTCCAACTAGTTGATTTGGTTCTAGGCAGCATGTGTCAAAATCCCCTGAGAATTCGCGAAAGCACTCAACTGCCGCTTACTCTTCACTTCTTTTCCATGAATTCCCGGTCGTCAATCGCGCTCTGATGCTTTTCGGGGCATAAAGTATTCGCTCAAGCTCCTAATACAAAACGTATGAGTTTATTGGCAGGACTACGACCATAACATAAACTCTTTTTCACATTCTGAATCTCTTTACCTTTTCACTGCAGTTTTTCGTAAAGCGCTTGGAGAACTTCAATTTTCATAATGTGATGGGAATGCGTTCGCATAATTCATTGGCATCAGTAATCACAGAAAAGGCGATGGATTGCAAACGCATAAATAATTGGAATCGCGAATAGTTCGCAGTTTTTGCTAATTGTATAGTTCCTTCGTTCTTTCTTCGAATTCAATATGAAAACGCGGTGTTCTCGTTGTTATTTTAACTTGTATTTTATGTATTATATATTTTCACGTGAGATAGCCTCAGAACCTCATTACGAATTC